TCGCTGCTCCGACATTCACCCGCACGGGAGGGATACTTACTTCCAGGCGGCTTTGGCGGCGTTCCTCCTCCCGGTGAACAACGCCTCGTTAGCGGCTCGAAGTTTAATCATCTTCCTCGTGTCCTGGTCGGTCACTGCGGCGCACACAGGTCGACAGACAAGTTAGCAAAGATTGATTTTATGCTGCATAAGTTTAATTTAAGATTTTTACTGCTGTTATTTTTATGTTCTTGTTAATTTATTCAGTTTGACTTTTTACTTTGAAGAAATATCTTTTATTGATATCTGTATGTTGATAACACATTTTTTATTCATTATTTATTTAGATTTCCAAACATTCATAGATTTCATGTGTTTTACATTTTAAACCACATTTTTATTAAATGTTTTTTCAGTATCTTTATTTTAATTCATTGTTATTATGATACTTTTCTTATTTCTGTATGTAAACATTTTGTCTTTTTTAAATCAGTTATTTTTAAAGTTTTGTTTTTATTTTACTTTGTAATTTATTCAATTTGAATTTTGTTACATTTTTCTTTGCAAAGCATTTCAGCGTTTTTTCTCACAGGATAAATTTCAGGTCTTATTATTTTATTTAGTTTTGACAGATGTTTGACTTCCTGTCTGATGTCGTCTTTGTGTTTTCTGAACTGCAGTAATTCTTTCATGTTTTTGTGTTACACAGTTTCCTTCACGTCCTGATTCTTCGTGAAGCTTTAATTTGCTCGTTGGCTGCAGAGGCTTCACGGCTTTAAAGCTTAAACGACGTGAGCGAAGCCTCGAGGAGGTTTGAGGGCAGCGATCGTCACCGGCCGTGACCATGAAGAAATCCTCTCACTTTTATAAGTCGGGTCGGACGGCGTCGAACACTCCTCTCCGCTGGCGTCGATGTAGGTGACGTTCCCGTCGGACTCCGCGTTGTCTCCGCCCACCATGCTCTCCAGCTCCGACACGCTGCTCCTCTCCGCCATCAAACAGTCTCTGTCGGGAGGCGGGGACGAGCCGAACACGCCGTCCTCCTCGTTGGTCCAGACGGGCGTCACTCGGGGAGCTTTGCCCGTCAGACGGCCTTCCAGAGCGTCGCTCATCAGCTGGAACCAGGGCCACGAGGCCGGGTTGGTCTGACCCTCCATCCCCCGAGGAGGAAACTTCAGGTCCTGCAGACGCAGCAAACTCACGTTTCAGTGAACGCTCGAGGCGAGCAGCAGCTCTCTGCGGCGCTCGGCCGATTACCATCAGAGAGCTGCAGGACACTCAGGCGTCTAACTTTATTTAAACAGGTCCGACTGGACAAAGCAGGTTATAGGTCACATGCAGGGCACGTTACTGCGAGTCACCTGAGACTCATCGAACACACCGACCAGATTCAGCTACTTTAACAAACACCTGGAGGTCAGTTTAAAACACACCCCCCTCCGCCTGCACGACTAACGTATCGACGGCGCCTCAGTCTCGAGGGATCCACTCACAGACTTGCAGGACTGACACTACAGGTGTAACTATCTCAGGAATGTTGTCACTGCCGATCAGGAAAAGCTGGATTTGTTGCACGTGTGGAAAAACAGCTCAGATTAAAAGGAATGTAAACTAGCAGAACATCGACAGCAGCGCTGCGAGGAAACTGATTTCCTGGTTTTAATGCCTGAAGCTCGTAAGCGTCTCACACATTCACAGTGGAGACGTTTATCCGGCCCACAGTGCAACAGGACGGCGTGCCGACGACGAGTCTCTGTGAAAACCTGACACGTCTGTGCACCTCCTCTAAATACAGG